TATGGTTTAATCTTTGTAATTAGAAAGAAGAGAGCTAATTGTAAGATTACATTGATAATAGAAGGTTTGACCAGAATTGAGAGGATTGACTTTTCCTCTCAATATTCATATATGTGTTCATAGTGTTCTTAATGATAAATTCATGAATCTGCCATTGATGTGAGCTTGATATTGAAGATTGATCAGTAATTGTGGACACACATTCTCAATAAAAAATATTGCTGGAGCAAACAACTCCAATAATAAACATGTTTCATGTTTTGTACAGACTTTAAACCAACTGTTTAGCAGCACACATGAACAAGTTCCTTATGGATGGGAATGTGCTATAGCAAAGAGCAAGACATTCATAGTTATAGTGTTATTTCAAGTACATCCCTACATATTGCATTGTATCTCTCTCCAACATATAAGAAAACCCATTCACTAAGAATCATTTAATTAGATACACATATTTGCATTGTATCTCTCGCCAATATCAATAGCGACTCATCACTTCAACATATATAAACCTTGGCAACAGATTTGGTAGTTGTACACCTTTGATATCTAGAAAAACGCCAACAGTTATAGTTACTCCTTGCATTTGGTAGTATACAACAAGTCTTTCTTCATCATCTTTTTTCTATTTTAAAAGCCAATTAGAATCTTAAGTACCCATCCCAGTCAAATTATAATTGGACACCACACGAAGCTTTGAAGATAAGTTGACTGTGACAGTAATTGAAAATGTACAAGCCAAAAGATACATCCCCCATTCATCTCATTGATAGTTTCGAGCTACATACAAGAAGACATAAACATCAGGACTGCGAGCATGGAAAGATCTATTCAAAGAACATTGTACTTTTTCAATGAGGGTATGTTACACTAAAATAATACGAAAAACTTAAAAAAAGGGAAATCTTAAACCTTTGACAATACCGAAACCTCGAGTTTAATGCATAAGAACACCAAATGGGAGGTAACATAGCAATATTAGATAAAAATTCCAGTTTTAATTG